AGAGTCCAAACAGCTGATAAAAACATCACAATAATCCACAAGTAATCCACAGCACTCCAGTCCATCAGTTAACATCTTGAGAAGACAAAAGCTGCGTGTTTATCAGAAAGAAATCCATTATTAAGATGTTTTAACTTTAAACTGTTGCTTCCGGCTAAAATAGAGTCTGTAATCAATAATAACGCTTCCTCCAGTGAAAAAGTTCATCTCCTGTTGTCTCTGACATCCAAATCCACCCACATATTTGTTTTGGCCTGTAAACATTGCTTGATCTGTGCAGATTTCTCTCCTGATTCAGACAAGACAACTTTTTTTTTTACTAGAGAAAGCAATATTATGGGCAGAGGACTCATATTTTAGCAATGGTCTGAAGTTAAAACACCTTAACTATAGAAAATTGGAAGGAATATTAGGCTGGTTTGGCTATTGCTACCGGAATGGTGAATCCATTAAAACTCATTCAGTCATCAATCTCATGTTTCCAGTTTATTTTCTCAACATGTAGGAGTAGACATTTCCATGGTTACAAGTGCTGGTAATTGTTGATTTATTGTCAACAACAATTCCACACAGGCCATGTATGAGTAGAGAGAGACGGCTTCTCACACACAAGAACACATTGAGACTGAGGCTTGATTAGTAAGAGGCCACAGGTGTTCTTATCAGGACTCAGTCAACCAATCAGAGCACAGCAGAATTTTCTACATTAACAATGGCATTAACACGCAGCTTTTGGCTTCTCAAGACATTTATTGATGGACTGGAATGGTGTGGATTACTTGTGGATTATTGTGATGTTTTTATCAGCTGTTTGGACTCTTTGGACATTTCTCCAAATCTGAAACTCATCTACATCGTAGATGGCCTTCTGTGGTTTGAACTGTCAAAATGAAGACTGCATAAATCTTTCTTTTGTGTTCCACAGAAAATAATAACTTTTTTATTTTTGGGTGAACTATGAGCTTACCTGTTAGGTACTTTTCTTTAGCTTTCTCCCGCTCATCAGCATCAAAATACCACACGGTAATGGCATATCTACACAATGAGAAAGACAAAGTTTATGAGATAAAAAACAGGACTAGACCAAAAACATAATGTGAGAAGAAAATTCATTGCATGTGTAGAGTGTGTTTGTCATGTGCTTCATTAATGATGATGATGATGATAACCTTGTTGCATATGCAGGCTGGACCTCATGAGGGTTTCGTCTATCAGACCAGAATAAAACCAAGCGGTCAAATTTGGGTTCAATGTCTGCAAACTGTGCTTTACTCTCTGGAAATATCCGCAGTACGCCCCCATTTTCCTGAAGACACGAATAACACAGAAATTAATTATGAGATCAGGTTTATCATTAGACAAAACCTAAATACTTAAAATTCTCATTGTGAAAATACCCACAACAAACAATTAGTGTGATTACATGTAAAATACAGAGTATAATGTCAATTAGCACAGAAGATAAGTTTGAAAATAATCAGTTTGTAAAAATGAGCAAAAATTGTGTTTACAGAAGAGCACTTGAAATGGAAGTATGTTGTGTTCCAGTCAATTTGACAGATGATTTTCGTTTTCCAGAAATCGCTAGTCAGTGTTATCACATTTGACTAAAACTTAATGACTTTGCTCACACAGGGTATTACAACCCCCCCAAAACTGGGTTTTTTATTTTTATTTTTTAGGATTTTTAGACTTGTGGTGTCCCTGGTCAAAAATGACTGACCTACAAAAATTTGCTTGCCAATCTCTCATTATTAGGGTTGGGAATCGAAAAATCAATTCCAATTCCAGAATCGGATACTTAAGGTCAGGAATTGGATAATTAAAAATTCATTTCCACCTATCAATTCCTGTGTGCGCATCTTTTATTTTTAGGTGGCGAAAAGAGGCTGTTAAAAATGCATTTGTCTTTGAATCATTCATTCAAGAGATTCATTCAAAAACACTGATTCATCCAGTAATGAAACAAGTAAATCTTGATCGAGTCATTGAATCATTCCATTCATAAATTCCATGAGATTTTGTTTAGTTGTCTAATATTCTTTCTTCAGAATTGTGAGAGAACTACAAAAAAAAAAATCAATTTATAAAGTTTAAATTTATCCAGAATCGTGCAGCTCTATTTTGCACACAAACAGCTCTTGAACGAGTCCAGTTTTTATGTAGCCTTTTGATTTTTGTTCGTGGTGTTCAGCAGCAATTTAATGTTTTGCAAAAAGAGACACAAAATGAATAAGCTTGATATCTAAATGTTTGACTTCATTTTTTTTAACCACATTGGAATCGAAAATGGGAATCGATAAGAATCGGAATCGATAAGCAGAATTGGAAGCGTAATTGCAATTGATAAAATTCCTACGATACCCAACCCTACTCATTATTCTATATTATTACCAAATCTTGGATACAATATTTCTTTTTGGAACTGATTAATCATAGGCCTCACTGATCAGAGCTCATGCACTTTTTTAATTGAACATTGCTAAAATTATCCACAAATAATGATTTTTTCACTCCCAAACTGAGGTGCATGAGCTCAGATCAATACAAAAACCTGTGCAAATTTAATGAAAACAAAATTACAAAAAGACTGAATCTAAGATTTGGTGATACTATTCAGCATAAGGAGAGATTTACAAGCAAATTACTGATGTTATCTGTGTAAAACAATGTCAAATTTTAAATAAAGCTTAAATTCAGATGCTGCAACAAACTACAAGCTTCACATTCTTGCATTTAAACTCCCTTAAATGTTTTGGCCCATAGACTTTCATTGTAAATGCATTACTGTAAAAGTAATTGTAGCTTTTCCAGCTTTGTCTCTAATGCAGTTATCAGTCATATTAGACTAACGTGACTACTGACAATACAGTCGACTCAGCAGTGCGTGACTGGAGCTTTTTTAGTGATAATGATAAATTCCATTAGTAGAAATAACAGAGCGACAGAAACAATGAGAGGCCAGGTCTGCAGGAGGTTAGGATAGGAAACGGCGGCGGAGCGCGGCCTTCCTGAAGAGGGACGAGAGGAAAAGGCCACATGCTGGATAAAGAGTCGTACGCGAGCGCAGGGAGCAGACTGCTGAGGGTGTGAGAATTAACCTTTCACACGTACGATCTGCACGCACAGCACGTTTCTCTCTGGGGAGCTGAACACATGCTTTATGCAGGTACATAGTGAATGCTCACGTATGCACAACAGCGCAAAATCATCAGGGAAGCACACTTGAAAATGCTGTGAAATGCAGCTATTGTATTTTTTTTTTCCTGCGGTGTTCTAAAAAGGTTTATTGTAGTTTCCGATCATGCTATGGTAACACTGGACATGTTAGTAGGAGGACCTTCAAAATCTACTAAGCGCTGGAGATTCAACACACTATTGCTTACAGATAACATGTTTCTTTCGCATCTTAATGCTGAATTCAAGATTTTTTGGTCAATTATTTCAGAGTCGATCGCTGATGCATCCCTGTTATGGGAGACTTGTAAAGCCTACATCAGAGGACTAGTCATATCTTATTCCATTACAAAAAAACCGGAAACAAGTAGAGAAGCAGGAGCACTTGGAACTAGAACTCAAAACTGCTACTGAAGATCACATAAATAATCCTTCTCCCGTTAATCTGGAGAAACTGAGTGCAATACGTGCCTCCCTGGACTCACTGTTATCGCAGCAGGCCAACACTAAAATATTATTTTCAAAGCAAAGATTGAATGAACACGGAAATAAACCTAATAAGTATTTATCTTGTTTATTGAAGAATAAATTTAGTTCATTAGCTCTATTAGGGAACAACGTCTCAGGTTACTTATGTAACCATGGTTCCCTGAGTAGGGAACGAGACACTGCGTCCTCTAGGGGTCGCTATGGGGAACGCCTCGTCGTGACCCATGTCTGAAGCATACATTGAAAAAACACCAACTCGTTGGCCGGCGACAGCCATGACGTCACTACCGGTGCGACTATAGTATAAATAAGCGCCGGGAGCACACATCATTCACTTCTTCATCTGAAGCTTGCGT